CCCCCTCTCGCCCCCTACCCCACCCTTCCGCCCCTGGCTGACCGTTCCTCCACCATCGCGGCGGCAACCATCACCCTCCGTCCCTATCCCCGTGCTTTAGCCGCGCTGCTTCTCTTACCACCGACTCGGCTAAACCCCCAACGGATCAATACGCTAAAACATTGCCACGTCGAGACGCCGCCGTGTAAAACCCGAAAGAAATACCGCTGCGGGGGCGGTGTTTTTCCTTAGCCAGCGGCCACCGCGTCTCCTCCGCGTCCGCGCGGCTACGAACATCCGGTTTTCGACCCTTTTACCTTGCCCGACTTTCTCTCCCTCTCTCTGCCCCTCTCTCTCTCTCCCCATTCTCGTCCGCCTTCATCTTATCTTGAAGCTTATACCTTTGTTTGGTCGGTAACTAAAATTTACGCAACGAATCTCATTTGACAAGATATAGAGGATCTTGCGTGAGATTCCCCTGCGTTATTTCTTCATAAAATTAGGCCGGTGAGAGTTGATTGTTTATTTTCAAGTTAAAGAACACGGGAAATTTCCAAAGTATCTAATAAGTATCCATCACTGAAAATTACAAACGCAATCAATAATTATTCATTAAGATCTTACTACTTTGTTAATGCGTAAATTACTTTTTTGTTAAATATTTGTACACGTGTAACTTTTTTCTATGAACGCAAGCAAAACAATTTTTGTAGCAAAAGTTAAAATAATATGCAACATAGATGCAAATTAAATAAGAGAAATGTGTGAAAATTATAATGCGGTAAACAATCAAAAGAAAAATATGAGATTGCAGACTTTGTGTAAAAACAATTAGAATACACTTTCAACATTATTATCGTGTAAAATCATTTAATATCGACCCGATATAAAATTAAAAATCTTAATTAAATTATTAAAGCACTCGCAAACGTATTCTACAGTATTCTAAAAAAAAGAAATACACATAGTATTAAATTACGAAAATTTACGAGGATTTATTTTAAGAAAGACAGCACATCACGGACAAATGCAATTTTTAACGTGTTTGTCCGATGCGTATCACGTATATTTCAACTTTGACGACTAATCGTCATACATAGTTCACTCTTCAAGGTAGGAAGAGTTCGCTATCGATAACAGACCTTCGAAGGGCACGAAAGACAGATGAACGGACGTCCGTGGCCTACCACAACCCACATAAGGCACCGGATTCGCTCTCGCCCTTCGGTTTCCCCCCCCCCTTCCTCCCCCTCTTCTTCACTATGTTCGTGTACGTACGTTCCTACTTTCACGTGTGCTCGACATAACGTCGGGTTTCCGTGGACGATCGATATATTGATTGTCGTCGACGAACAACCGGCTGGTCGACAGCCACGAAAGTAAAAGAGAGAGGATGAGAGAAAGAGAGAGAGGGAGAAGGAGAGTAAAAGCGCTCACGGCTGTTGTTCGTATGTCTGTGGTCACTTGTTGCCTGCCACCCCCGGGGGTTGGCCTTGTCCCTCTGTGTTTGGGGAACGCTTGTCGTTCGACCGCCGACAAACCGCCCGGCGACCAAAGCGTGCCCGGAGATCTCTTTCCTCCGGTGGATTAGGTCGGCGACTCTGCCGATAGGCGAATTTCCGATCTCCCCTTTTGTTTCTTTTATTCGGCCGTTTCTTGTCTACGCCGCGCGTGAAGCGCGCAAGGGCGATTTCCGATTTTGGAAATTCGCATCTGACGAAGTCGGCTGAATTATCGAACGGCATGATATATGAATTTGCGACTTTGAAGCTTCGCACTTTAAAACTTGATCCCAAATTTTCGGATTATGGAATCTTTGCTAATTTTGCAACCCCCATTAAGTTGGACCCCCCACCATCGTCAAATCAAGTCGCACCTATCAATTAATTTAGTGCTAATTATGTGCTAATTAGTTGCAATCCGGATTTTGTTGCTCTTACCGTTTAGCAGGAATTCACGTTTAAAGTGGGGGGGGGGGGGTAGCCAGCTTGACATTAAGCTTAAGATTAATTGACACCAGAAACATACGAGCAACAAATTATTTCAACT